TTTCTTATTTTGGTTTCTACTTGATACCAGATCACACACACTGTGAAATATTCCATGAGTAAACAAATTTTTTGCAAATATTTCTTTGATAATTGAGGCATTTAATTGTTTTTTTTTTTTTCATGTTTGTTGAAAGCAGGGCTGAAAGTCACTAAATTTAGGGTGTTTAACTGCTTTAGGATGAGAAATGATGGTTTCATGTCACAAGTCAGGGAGTCACTGAATGCAGGTGAAATATATACCGAAAAATTCTTTGGAGGAAATTGAAATTTAACCATCTCATAAGACAGGAAGTCATTAAATACAGGTGGTCACTTTAACAGATTTGACCTTTTATCCTCATGTCTTTATAAATAATCATCATGATAAACTTCAGAGAAAAAATTTTCCTCTCTAGTCAAAGTTCAGAGTCTCTAAACTTAGTGACAAAGCTTAGAGAAGCTATATGTTTACAGATACTTGGAAAGTCATCATGGTCATATTGATGGACCTTTGGACACTGATAAAGCAGACTGAAGCTAGTGTGCAGATGTCAGATTCTTTAGATAAAGGTGCTTGGTTTTTGTCCTAAGTCTTCACACATCGGTATTGATCTGGAAGATCAAATATTGAGATTTATTATTTATCTGTCACACATTTAACATGGTTATAAGAAGCTGATACTAATTGATGTGTACATGAGGAATTTGAAGTCATGTTTAGAGCAGACCTTTCAGCAAATGCTTTTTCACAAAGTATTACAAAATAATAAAATAAAATTCCTCTCAGCATTTTAGTTACAATTATTCAAATAAGGCCAAAAAAAATAATAGTCTTGTTTCCTGTTACCCGACCTACCCTATTTTTTAGCCCCTGACCCTAAAGTTTTTTTTAAGTTTTGGAAGGAAAAAAATCGGGAATTTCCGGAATTTCATTGTTCTGTCACCGTAATCGGTTTCCGTGTTAACACAAAACAAGCATTTCATGAAATTCTTGTTTTAATTATGGACTTTCATAAAATACCACTTGAGTTGTGCATAAAAAGACATGAAATTTAATTTTAAGAGACAACGTTGACCTGTGACATGTTTAATTTGATCTTGTATTAGTTCATATCCAAAAAATGCTGTCGGAAAAAAATAAAATAAAAATATAAAATAAAATAATTTTCCTACCTACCTGCCCTATTTTTTTCAGGCCGGTAGCTGGAAACAAGACTATTATTTTTTTTGGCCTAAAAGAATTAAGAAAGTGGTTTTGGTCATCTCTCCATTTAGTTTTTACTGTTCCTACATTTCACTGGAATAGTTATAGTTTTACAATTGTGGGCTCAATGTTTGTGTGAAATTTCCTTTGGGGTCTCAATTAAATTTACACAATAACATCTGAGTGTTCACTAATGTTTTATTGGAGGCATTGAAATTCAAATGAATTCAAATTTCCAAGTGTGTGAAATTCATGGTATAGAAGGACAATTTAGTATAATTTTAACTTTTAAATGTAGATAATTTAATTTATACACTCCTTAAAGTTTATTACTGGTAAGTAGTACCATATAAATTTCTCATCTTGTTTGTGTCTTCCTTTGAAGTGGCCTGTTTAAGTGTAAATTTGGTTTATCTATGAAGAGCTACTTTACAGTTAAGGTGTGACTTACAGTTACAGATAACAGTATAAGTACTGATTGGGTGGGATGTCATCTCTACCTCTAAACTCTTGAACGTTGAACCTTTTCAAACTACTTGAACAAGCTCCTGCGTATACTTTGATTTTCTAAGTAATCAGAAGGTCTATTTATACATAGTATTTGCAAAACTGACATGCTCATACCCCCTTAAAATTTGGTATGAAGATAACTGCAAAATTATTTCATTTCATATATTGCTTTAAAATTTACATGTGGGTGGATCATTTAAAATGCCTTTCATAAGCAAGCAATATAAGGTATATACAGATGTAAACAAACAATTCATCAGTCTTTGTTGAGATGGCAAATTTTTTGGTATGTGGGTTAAGGTTAAGGGTCACCATAATCCACCAAAATTGAAAGCCAACAAAGCGCCAAGACTGATTTTTAAAAAAAATTCTTCTGAAAGGTTAGGGTGTTTGTTTTAACACTGTTTAAAGGGGATTTTCCATTTTCAGTTATCCAGTATTAGTAAGATATGTAATAGTTCTTTTAATACCTGATAATTTTGTCAAAAGCAAATTTTGCTTGCATCAATCTACATATACTATATGCATCACCATTACTTTAGTGAATTATTCTGAAATTGACATTGAATAGTACTTAAGAGATGCCATGTTTAGAAGTCATTTATGGTTTTAAATGGTTAGGTCAGGATAAAGTTTTGATTTTATTTGCCACCTGAGAAAACCATCTGAGTCAGCATTTTCCATCCTGATTCTAGAATTATTGCTTTCCAGGCTCCAGGATTTTACACTTGGGGATTGGAGCAATATCAACCAGAATTATCACCTGAGTACACCTGCAATTAAATGTACATTAATTGGAATGGTTTAATAAGTAGTATGATTGATGACTTGCATTCACTGATCTGTTTCAAGTTCTGAAGTTAGACTGCATGAATATACAGTATACTTAATTCTGGAAATTCAATTTCGCAGATCCACTGATTCATTTCCTAGCTTATATATTCTGAATGACAGTTTTTAATAAGATCTTGGCACATTTTATATTTGAAGTTTTAACAAATTAATCCTTTGTACCTGTTGCAAAGCACATTGAATCAATGAAATATTCATGACTTTGTCAAGGTAGTGATATGAGCTTTGCGGAATATGGACGTTGTCATGATTGACACGTTTTAGCAGTCTGCTTTATCGAGCACTTGGCGCAGTAGGGGGTATTATTGCCAGAATCAGTCACTATTGATCTTAATATCCTATTTTTTTCCAGCAGGCTTCTTTTTTTTGTTGTAATTAAGCTCGTTTTAATAATTACTGAAATCATTAATTACGGCAGCAACAGAGGTGGGCGCTGTACAGGAAGTTAGACATGTTTTATGCTGTATTAAGCCGAGTTTAATAGTGCTTGATCTGGAACATTCACCTACAAAATATTGATCATTTAATTTTGACCTCAATTATTGTTTGTCCTTCAATGTTATGATTGTCTGAACTGTTAAAATATAAGTTTATCTTAGTTATCTTTCCTTTTGGAACCATATAGGTACAAGAAAAAATGTCAGATATGTTATACTTATTGGATAATTTGTAATGTCATTATGGAGAAGTACTTTGTGATAATTGAAATATCCTTGATTGACTCCTGCAGCTACAAGTTAATGGGAACTGAGAACTAATGCAAGTAGTGCATTTTTTTGAGTCCCATACCAGTGAAGCCAAAAGGAATCTTTGATTACCGGTATATAATTTTTTTTTTTTTAAATTTCTTTCTTTTTCATAAAATTAAAATGAACCCCTTTCTATTTCATATATTTTAAAGAGGAAATTAGATTATAATCATTTAATTTACCACCAAGTAGTGTCCCCCCCCCCCCCCCCCCCCCCAAAGTCTACTTTGGTACTTTAAATTTCTACATGACCAAACTATCTTTAAAATCTTACGTAAGTAGCCTTGAGCTTAAAGGTATTGCAGTAACTTAATGATGGATTCATAATTTCATCATTTTTATTAACAATAGCAGTTTGTGTTTTGCTGTTGGAAATCATTTTTTTTAATCTTCAAAGAAATGTCAACATATTTTTTATTAGCTGAAGTTTGGCTTTGATGTTTACTGTTGATGGTGGAATTTAATATCTGCATGGAAATGTGATTGAAGTTCTTAGACCCACTTTATCATCTTGATCAGTCTGTTGTAGAGAATTTAATGAATTTATTTTTTTTTCTGCAAAGAAGCCGAGTTGCACAATATTTTGCAGGCAAGAAACTCATAAATGTGCTGCAACTGTGAAGAGGTTTTTTTTTGGAGAGTTGTAATCTATAAGGAAATTTAAGAACTACTGCAAAATTCAGTTTATGTTTTCTTAAATTTTAAAAAATAAGTTTTAAATTCATTACAAACAATGGGTCATTTTGTTCTCATGTGTTTCTAATTCATTATAAAGTATTTGTGTATGACATTTTATCAATAAGTCAATTCATCTATGAAATTAGATTGTGGTGTACTGAAGTTAATAGTGGCATCAAATAATCATAAAACGTATCAAGCTTAAGGCACCGAAGTATCAAGTTGGTTGACATATAAGCAGTCCTGCATTACTGAAAATTATCAGCTTTAGTCTGTGGGTACATCATTCTGTAAAATATTCATAATTTTGTGGGATGTGGGCTTTAAGTTATCTCTGTGTTATCTGACACCATGGACCTCTCAAAAAAATTTCTCAGTAGGATGTGAATATAGTTAAGTTGTGGTGGTGATAAGTTGGGATGCTGGATAATTTCCAAACAAGGGAAATCCATTGGAAAACCCCTAAAACTTTGAGATATTTGGGTATATCCATCATCTGAATTTAGTTAATTGGCATTCTTTTTGTATTGATTTTGAAATTGATTTTGATTAACTCAACTTCAAGTACCATATCTGTTTGGCCTTACGAAAAAAAAGTAAAGAAAAATTAAAAAGAAAAAAAAGAAAAGAAGAGTTGTATTGCTCTCAGAACAATTCTCTCTAGCTATTGAGCAGTACTACACTATTTAAGTAATTTTTACTGTATATTTAATTTTTTCAGTATATGTATACAGATCAGTTTTTACGGATTTTGAAGTGTTTTTTTTTCATGTCTTATGATTATGTTGAAATCTTAAGCACATTCATGAAAACGATTTTAGACTTTAAAATATTTTTTGTTTTTTATTTTGGTGAAACAATGTTCTGGATCGTTCTGTACAACTTACTCTTACTGTTTCAGTAACATTTCTGAATAATTTTATATCAAAAATAAGAATGGATTTTACACTGTCGATGACAGTTACCAAACTCGCCATTATTTGACAGGGTCCAACATGTATTACATTCAGTCATTTATCATTTCAGCTCGAGTCACAAGAAGATGCCAAGTTAAGCCAAATTCTTACCAAGCAAAGGCAACACAGGGACCAACTGCATCAAAGTAGTGTGCTCGAGTATGCTCATCTGAGCACATCTCGGCATAAAACCACACCCCCTGAGCAGCAAACTAAAACAAGTGTTTCCTTCTCTTTACAAGAACAGAGTCAGTCTTTTGGGAACAGCAAGGAATTCGGTATGTTTGGTATTAATTTGTCACAGAGTTTTGAATGAATTAATATATTTCAAGGCTGTTGCATTAAGAAAGTTCTGAGTACCAAGTAATGTTGATAGTTCACCCCCCCCCCCCACCCCCCCCACCCCCCCCCCCACCCCCCCACCCCCCCCCCCCCAACACACAATCACACAGTCACACACTTACACTTTGTAGACTTAGTTAATCATAGTTTATGGGATGAGAGACTTTTTCAACTGTTTTCTTTCTAAACATCATTCAAGTTTTAAACATGCTAGCTATCTCAGATAGAGGTTGATTTATCTGAGCATTCAGCATGTTCATTGTTGTTCATGATAACAGTTTCATTAATTTTTGTACTTATATATACAGTGAAAACTGTCTAACCTAGCTGACACCTGTGCAATCCATTTCACTGTGAATTCAGATCTTTATTTTCATTCCAATTTTACTGTTTTCCATGTTCTTTACACTGTGTAATCCAACATCCTGTCTATTCTGAAACAAAAGAGCAAGAGCCACTTAGGGCCTTTTTTGGCCCTGTCAATTTCAAAAAATTCAAAACTACATAGTTTTAGTCGACAAGGCAATAAATTATACTTGAACACCTGGTGAATGAATATCTACTGAAAATGACGTAATTTTCTTGCTAGACAATGTATTATGACGTCATGAATTGCGTCATTATTCACATATCCTGAATATTTCTACAAAAATTGCCAAAAGATGATGCCATTTTTCAATATTTCATGTACAGCACAAGTTCTGATCCAGTATGTGTAAACATATTATAAAAGGACTGTTAATGAAGATTATAAAACATGTTTTAATTTTTGGATCGAGGGGTGTGCTCATATTTTAATTCTTTGCTGAAGGTTCTCAAAAACACCTGTTTTCTGCAAAATTCGATAACATTGCAATTTCACACAACCTGTTTTTAATGCCTGGACTCTTCCAAGGCAATTCTGTTATATAAACTGAAAGCACTAAGTCTCTACTTTATATTAATGTTGAAAATGGTACACAGGGTTTTAGTCAATAAATTGGTATATCTACAGGGCCATTTTATGCATAAAGTGAACCTAGCTCTTTGTCTCCCAGTGCCTGTCGGATTAGACAGGTTTCACTGTAGTATCAAATTTGCATTGTGTTCCTTCATGCTTTTGGATATTTATGCACAAGTGTCCTTTTACTAAATTGATTCTGAATTTTGCAACACATTTTTTTGTTATAAATGTGCAGAACTGGTATAATTCATGTGATATAAATTTGATCTCTTTGATTATGAAAACATTTAAAGACCGTGGCCCTAATTAGTGTCTCTCATGGGATTTCTATGTAAGGGATAAAATATTTGATACTGCAATGTTTATAGCCATTTGATTTTGAATTAATTATTCCGCAGGAAATTTAAAACTTATACTGTTAAATATTGTTATACAATGAAGCCTCCAGGGAGAATTATGTTTGTATCCATATATAAACATCTGGTTTTCTTGTTTCTAGCCAGTATCTTCATTCTGTTTCTTCTTCCTGGTGACAAATTGTAACTCAGCAGATTAATTAGTTCACATTAAGCATTTATTTACAATTAACATGTTTTTTTTTAAAAAGTTTCTTTTTCCTATTAATGAAAGAGGTTGCTACAAAAGTATGGATTTTGATAAGTGTTTGATGAATTTTGCTTTTGACTGATAAAATTATAAAACAGCCATTATACTCAATAAAGGAGTGCCCATTTTGTTAACACACAACTCCTCCTAAAGCCCTGAGTAAAATTCAATGGATCTTTTACGGAATCTCATTTACTTCCAAGAAATGCACTTTGCAATTGTACTCGCATTGGAGCGGGGGAAGGGGGGGGGGTCAATTTGTTAACTCATTGCTAACAGTACCTCTAGTTATGGCGTCAAGCTCTTGGAGCTTGAACGTCATCTAGCGATCGGCCAGGTGAAATCGCCACCGGATGTACGCGACCCAATGTGTCAGTGGATGCAACCGCAATAGAAAATAGCAATAGCTATAAACCAATTTCTTTGAAAATGCTCACAATGAATAATAGCTTGAAAATAAAATTGCATTAATTGTATCTACAATTAATTCTTTTACAAAACAACGATAATATGTTTTATTTTCACACAAGAAAAACATGATGGTTGTTGCGGATGAATTTCTACAGAAAGGGTGCATCGAATGACATGAATAACATTTTGGAATGATAACCGTGTAACACAAACAACCAACAGGCGGTAAAATAATTACAAAATTACATAAACACGAATACTACAAGCTTGAAAAGATTGAATATCTAAATCTTAGCTTTACTTTTACAATCTTCTAACCAACTTTATCCTAAAAAACCGATGATGTTAATCAGTATTACTGTATTTCTCAATTTCCTCCAATATACCACGCACTATCGTAACTCGATCGTACTTGTAACAGAGCAGAGTCATGGTTGTAGTTAAGATGCAATGACTAGAACAACGCTTTGACGTTGGCAGTTAGAAAGAATAATGTATAAATTCATGAAATCCTTCATAGTTCTTCAATTGACTGAAAAGAAATTAGTTTGATATTTAGCATGAACATGTTCGACAGTGTCTGGTCAATTCGAACCCTGCTCCATTCGGACCATGACATAAAGGCCCCACACTACCGGTAATTGTGACATTTTGTTTAAAACTTTTTTTTTTATTTTTATTATTATTATTATTATTATTATTATGTCACCTGAGTCACTTACTTGACCTATTGCTATCTTCAGATCTTTTGAAATTGTTTTTTCTTGTTTGACGCCATTGAAGCCTTTCAGGCTTTTGATTTTTAATTATGTCATGAAAACATTTTGCTTTTGTCCAGGGAGGAGTGAAGAAAGTTTTCTTGTCATATACTTTATCACAGTTTTACCAATAGTTTGGATTTTCATTGATGGTGACATGGTAAACGCTATTATAGTGTCACACCAACCTTTATATTTGGCATTGGGACATATAGTGTTATTTTAGGAGAAAATATTAAGTAGATTTCACGAAGTTTTAATTGGTAATTGCAGCATTTTCTACAATTAAGGGTCATTGACCTTCAAATAAGAGAGGTAACTCTCAGTGAGATTTATGACTTTTATTAAATTCCCTTAATAAATAAATTCCCTTAATAAATTGTCAAGTTAAAAGTTGATTTCTGTCAAATTTTGCACTGCAAAGTATGATGAATTTTTAATCCCATTTCAGTTGACTTAATGGATTTCAAGGAATAATTATTATCATTGGAGCAAAATTTTATTTGAGTGAACAGAGGGACTGGTGAACCTATAGAGGTTATAGGCTTACGACATCTTGTGCTTTGTAATTAAGCAACACCAGAAGGTCCATGCTATCTGTGAAATATTTGTTAATTAGTCAAGAGAAACTGATTTAAGTAAAGGCTGATTTTATTTATTTTTTTGTGTGGGAGACAATGGAAAGCTTGTATAATCTGAAATTTGGAGAAAAAAATATTTCATAAAGAAACAAGAAAAAATTGCTGCGTCATTCAAAAATCAATGAACTGTTGATTTCATTGCCATTATTTGAAAGTCAGTCATTAAAGCATTTGGGAGAATTTAAAAAGAATTTAAAAAATTCAAGAATACAAAGAATGACATTTTAGTGATTGTGTTGACCCCCCCCCCCCCCCCCCCCTCCAAAAAAGAAAATGCACCAAAAAAAACCCATAATTTTTGATAATTAGATTAATGATGAAAAACTAAGTTGCAATGCCATATTCAATTATTCAATCATTCATTTTTTTTTCTTAAGAAATGAAAAACCAGAAATTATTTCGTTAAAAGTTCATTGAGTGAATGATGATGAGTAATTATTTAAAGGAACCTTTTCAGAGATTGGTTGTCTTTGTTTTGTTTTAATCATTTACCCGTAAAGGCAAGTGGAATTTATGGTATGTTTTGAAGCATGAATGCACTCATTACGACTTTGTTTTGTTTTAGCAGGTGTCAGCAAATCTAATTTTCCAGTCGGTAGAGCCGAGAGCCCAAAGCATGGGGTAGATAGGACTCCTCTTCAAGCTTGGAACAGTTCCAGTAAGTATCTAAGTTGTTTGATATTTTTGAAGGCGGTGTTATGATTTGTATACACCTAATAGTATACACTTTGTCCATCTGTCTATCCATCCATCCACAGATTTCCTAAGTTTATGTTGCTTATAACTTTTTTTTATGATAGTCCTATAATATTCAAATTTGATATTTTATTAAGCAGGTAGTAAAAATATTGAAGGCTTTTTTTGATTTATTGAAAAAGGATGTTGATTCAGAAGTCTCTGGCATTAACTTTGTTGACTCAGAGCTCCATGCAGCTTTCATGCAAGATTAACCATCCAGATTGCAATCAAAAATTGCAATAGAAAATGGAAAGAGTAAAAGAAATAATTCTGGACTTTAATCAGTCCTTGTTGAAGTCTGAGGTTATCTTAATGGCCAAAACATTGATTTTCATGATGCAAGTTTAAATACAAGAGATGCAAATAGGAAGGAAATTAAAAACCAAAGGTCAGAATCCGAGTTGAATAAACAAAACTGATGAATAATTTTCCCCTTAAGTATTAGTAGTTGTGAGGCTGCATTTAAGCGAAAAACCATAAGAAAACAATTCTAGGGGTTCAAGAACAATAGCAATGGATGGGGCTCTTTTCAGTTTTCAGTGCTTTCTCTTGGGTAAGGATTTAGAAGGAGAGCGTTGCAGGCTCGTGATTGGCTAGATTTAAGCATTTATCGGTTGAGAAGTGTTATGTTTACATGTGTATATCAGTCTTCCGACCTTGATATTTACATTGGCCCATTGACGAGAAGTTGAATAATCAGCAAATGCCAAATTGAACAATGATTTAAAGTTTACATGGAAGGGGGGCAGTAAATTCATTGAGATTCTGTTTTAGAAATTAAGCATGTTAAACATGTGTTTATTAAGTCTGGTAAGGACTTTTGAAGTAGCCATAAAGTTAACATTAGTTTGTTGTTGCGTAAATAGTTGGTATTTTTGGATTCACTGTGTGTTAAGCATGATTATAGACTGAGGAAAGAAAGGAAGTTACTTGAACAAGGAAGAGATGGTTTTTATTTGGTTGGAGTAAAACTGATCAATAGTCCTCTATGACATAAGCCTGAGAAGGCACCATAAAATAGATGGGCTGCATGAACAAGTAAATATAATAAATTTTTCACATTAATTAGTGTGGACTAAGAGGACTCAGGTGTGCTAGCTTTTATAAGGTACTTTCTTCAGTCTGGTTTTTGCTCATCCTGAGGGCTTGTCCACCAAAGGTTTCCTTTTTTAGATAGATCTCCAAGTCACCCTGTTCTATAAAAGTTTTAAGTTATAATGACTGTGTTTCTTAACAGGTAAGTTTTTTTTCCAGACATACTACAGACTATTATTTTTTAAGGAACAAAACTTATTAAGAGTACAAAATGATTGTGTGTATAATGGAAATATATAGCTGAAGGTCCAACGTAGGAGCTATGATCACATGCAAGTTTAAATGTACACGTGGTAGAAAATTCGATATCTTCTCTACGTACATGGTCTGAATACCCATATCAAAAAATAATACATAAAAGTATATTTTTAATATATTTTTAATACAATCATTTTCGTATTGTTTAAAATTAATACAGAAAAAATATATTATTTTTGTATCACCAACAAATAGGTAGATTATTTTTGTATTAAAATCTGACTTTGATTTTTTACAGGGTATTATTTTTGTATTTTTTGGGACTTAGATTATTTTCAGTATATCATTTTTGTATTTTTGTGGACTTAGTTTTTTTCAAGTGTATTTTTTCTGTATTAAAATTGAACTTAGTAATTTTACAGAAAATTACATACAGTTAATCTGTATTATTTTTGTATTAAAATTGAACTTAGTAATTTTACAGAAAATTACATACAGTTAGTCTGTATTATTTTTGTATTAAATTTGGACTTAATAATTTTTCAAAAAATACTATACAGTCAGTATGTATTTTTTTTATATTTATTTTGGACTTAGTGTTTTCTTTTACTGAAATTTGTATTTCTTTGAACTTAGGAAAATTTACAGAAGTTCTTGCAATAAGTCTGTTGGAATTAATATTTTTTCTCAGATTTTATTAATTAAGACCACTGCTATAAAGGTTGCTTTTATACTATTTACATTTAATTGCTATTTAGAACAGAAAACTTCAGTAGTTTAAATTTGTTAACTAAACAATTTCATTTTTAAAACATGTCTTTACTAGGTGTGAAATTGTCATTTGGAAAGAGATAGATACGTCTAAGGGGACACCTGTGCTGTACATGATACTTGTAAACACGCGGTAAATTTTGAAGTTTCAGAGTTTCAGACTTTCTTTTTGTGTTGAAAATTTTACAGCGTGTTTACAACCGAGTGTTTACAACTATCGCCAACAGCACAGGTGGCCACCTGCAGGCTAACAATAGACGAGTACATGTTATACTACTCAAAGAAATAACATGATTTACCCGTGAAAACACATCCCAACCAAAACCAAAACAAAAACAAACAACATGAAGAGTTCCACTAAATACAGTACCTACGATGTTTTCTTGACTATACAACTCAACGTAGTATACATTATATTTACTTCAGTACGTATTACAATTACATGGAATAGAACTATTTAATTATCCGCTTTTAGAAAAAAATTAAATAAGAAATTATTACGAAAGAATATCATAAAATAATATAGAAAATGTTGTGAAATTGGTGTAAAGGATAGTTGTTAAACATTATTTCAATCTCTGGTACCGTATGTATGAGTTAAGTTGTCCATCAAAAAGGCTATATATTATGTATCTCCCGCTCGTTTTGATCATTATATGTGAACTTTATGGTCTACTTCACAGGTCAACTTGAATATAAAAATGGCTGCTCTCAGCGGAAATAATGACCGGAAATAACGATGTTTCGTAATCGGTAAATTCCGTAAGGAATAAAAAATGATTCTGATAATTAAATTGAACATCGTTTTTTTCTAACATAATTTTAGGTTTGTTCAATTGATTCAAGATATTTAAAACCATGTAAATATGTTTTCTCTAACTGTTCCGTTCTGAACATCGGTAATTTTCGTATATGTGACACAATATGATTGGTCAGATTTTAAAACTCTTCCGTACTGTTCTCTGATTGGTCAACAATATTTCACCCACGCCATTTTGAAAATTCTTCCCGGGACGTGTTGAGAAAGCTGGAGGTGATTTTGAATAAACTCTCATTTGCTCGCGAGTAAAATGGATTGAAAAACAGAAGTGCAGCATAATAATGGTACACAGGATCATATATATGAACCAAGGAAAGCAAATACATAAGGAGACTGACGTTTTTTAGGCATCATATCTGGACTTTTCTGGTGTAAACAACGACAGTTGCGGTAAGATTATGTATATTTTAGCACATTAAAGTTTCAGTTTTTTAAATAATAACTTAGTACAAAGATAGAGGAACAAAGAATGCCTTTTTTACCCATTTTGTAGTATTGTAGAAAGATAAAATAGTACGGTTATTGGCCATATGGGGAACAAGGGTTTTTGTGATAAATTCTGATTGGGGAGAGAGGGGTGGAAGATGGGGGTAATTTTCAAGCCTTTGGCTTCCTAGTTCTATTTCATTCCAATTTTTTCAAGTTTACCATAGACGAATTATTTATTTTCCCTTCAAAAACAATTCTGTAATTTGTATAAACTCAATTTTTTCGGGGGGGGGGGGGGGGGGGGGGTAGGTTGGGTTCGGGGGGGGGGGGGGCAGTTTATTTAAATAACATTGGGGCACACATTTTGTTTACTCTTTCAACATTTTCAAGGACAGATTGTTTATTACAAATATTTTTTTTAAAATATTTTATAAATCAGTCCCCCCCCCTTTTTCTTCTCCAGATTGTCAAATCAAATGGTTGTCCCCTAAGAAACCCCAGATTAAAGAAAAGTAATTTCAATGGTACAATTGTATGGAATTTGGTGAACTCCGCTGGATCTTTTGGAATTTCAATTTATATTTATTGTTAATTTTAGTCAGCAGAACATTGAAGAAAAGCTGATTAGTCATGGAGGAAGAAGATCCCTCTCAAGAAAGTATTGCAGGTGTGTGAGCTAAACAAAATCTATATAGAATTATTTTGGATGTGAAAATGTGTGTTTTGTTGAGGTAATGGTTCATTAAATTTTATCATTATATCATTCTGTTCTATATTTCACAGTGATGAAGTCAGATGAGATGACAGGTTTTGTGATTTGAAGATGGACTTCTGCAACAAAGTAAACACTCCTCTACCTTTTCCATACAAAAGAAACAGCAAAGCAGAGAGATCGAAACATGTGGTAAAAATACAAAGAAAACAGGATTAGTTAAACTTGTGAAAAATATCAAGACTATTGAAGAGCAGATTATATGTAAAAAGAAAGACTACAATTGGTAGCTGAATCAGTAGCCTGGCCACATTAATTACTTTTTAATTAGCTATTTGTACATTTAAGGTAATCTGACTGAGTTACTAAAATTGTTATTTAACAAATATTTCAAATAAATAAAAGATTTTTGAATAACAATCAATAGATGCTATTAAGAACCTCAATCTCCAACCCCTTTTCTTCAAATAACAATTTTTGCCCATGATCATTTTTGTAGTTTTTAAAACTCTGTTTTGTATTATTTTAAGCATTTAAATGTATTTTTTGTCTATCATTCTTGTACTTTTTTGATATTTTTGAAATAAAATCCTTCATGCTGATAAAAATACAAAAACAATACAAATTAATACAAAATTAATACATTCTATATTTTTTTCATACTTTTTTTGTGTACTGTATTATTTTCATATTTTATATCTTTTTTGTACTTTTAATTTATCCAGATGAAAAAATACAAAAATAATATATGTGATACAAAATTAATATATTCTATATTTTTTTTGTATTTTAATTCTTAAAGGTGAAAAAATACAAAAATAATATATGCTAATACAAAATTAATACATTCTGTATTTTTTCTATACTTTTCTATGGACTGTATTATTTTTATACTTTGGAGAGGAAAATAGAGAAATAATACAAAAGTACAAAAACAATACGTTTTTACAGGTCATGTGTTTCATTTCTGTATTATTTCGAAAAAATAAAGTATATTAAAAATATATTTTTCTGTGTTTGGCTTTTAAAAAGTCTATTATTTTTGACCTAAATTGGAACCAAGATTTAGAGGGTTCCAAATTTGGTCATTAAAAATATACTTTTTTTGTATTATTTTAGTATTTTTTTCTTGTATTATTTTTGTATTCATTTTCGATATGGGTAGGTTTCTTTGAGTCATTCACCTGCCAATGCTTTCCAGGCCATTGAAAATGTCCAATAATGTTTATATTTTGACTCAAGTAGATTTAATCCCTTCGTGCAATATTGTCCCATGTTGCATTGGGTAAAGATGTCTTTGAATAGAAAAGGAGCAGGAATATTCATGCAAAGCCCTACAAGTGGATGTACTTACTGTATGACAAGTTTATAATGCTTTTGAAAGATTGGCAGCAAGGTTATTGTGTCAGTATAAAAAAAGGCTATGATTGTATGGAAAAACGTATCTCTCCGAATCTTATCTGAACTTGGATTCTTTTTTTAAGATTGCAGTTCAGATCTTTCTGAATGATTACAGAGATTTGTGACCATATTGGTGGGCCATTGTTTTGTAAACATTTAAACAACTGTGACCGATTTTTTTTTTAAAAGTTCAAACTCTGTGAGGAGTTAACCTCTGAATTCAATGATGACAAATGCTGTTTTGTAGAATAATGGATGATACTGAAATTGCTTCAGTGGTACAATTTGTATAAATCAAAGAGAGGAAAAAATAGTCCCAAAGTGCATAAAAAAGAGAGATGAAGCTATTAACTTTTTAAAGCAGTTAGCTTGAAGCTTCTATGAAGCATTGATTGTTGACATTCACGTTTTGAAACACAAAGGATGAATTCTCTACGTACCCAGAAATGGCATGATGCCAACGAGACAGAAAACCCTCATTTAAATGACAACACAAACATAGCTTAGTGTTACAAAGCTATATCTACACACTCAAGGGAATGTTACATGTAAATATCTGTCTTTTTTACCATTCTGAGGAGAAAATATGTCTTGGATAACCAGAAGTGTCCATTAATGGGTCTGTAATCTGTGTATCTTATTGGATTAGTGTGTTGAGGAGGATGCTGATGTGAGTATATAGTTAATGTCTGGTTTTGTTGGCGTTTTATATTATGTTGAGTGAGTGGGGTGAAAGACTTTATAAATAGGTTTTTATAATTACTGTTTTGTTCTCTTGATTATTAGGGACTTGAACCTACCTTCTTTACTTGACATATGGAATATTGAAAAAAAAAATCCAAATCAACAGATCGATGGAACCATTAAGTCTGTTTTGTTCCAGTTGAAAGATTTAAAGAGTGTCTCATGAACATTGAGGTGTGATATGAAGTAATGTGATTGTGAAACTATCAACCACAGTCCTCCATCAACCAGAGTCCTCCCCAACCATTTTTGTATAAAATTATACACTGTGGTATCCTCTACCAGTTCCCCACAATCCACATCTCAAATGAGTATCAATAAGTATGATTCCATTTCATCATGTTCATTGCATGATTATGAGATCATTTTACTATATAAGCTTCATATTTCATCAATCTGTCACACATATTTTAAAATTTCAATCATGTTGATATAGTTAAGATTTTTTGGCATTCTGATAGTTTGAAATAACAGAAATCCACCATATTTTTGCATTTTTTGCAATATCTTTGGTAAGCATGTGCAAATCAAGTCAAAGCTTTCTTGAACCCATCAAGCAATTGACAGGCTCTTAGATTTTCACGTTTTCCTCAAATAAGTCACAACCTCAACATAGTCAATTCTGTTCTAATACAAATTGTACCCCTTCCAGGCCTTTCTCTAGCTGTTCTACAAGTACTCTCATCCTTCAAATAGTATAATTTTGTACTTGTGTTTGTAATTGATATCATTTGTACTTATACATGTTATTGTTTTAAAGGTCAGGGTTAATGGTACTTTTTAGTTATGTAGAAGACATTATGAAAGATTGATCAAACCTAACACGGTTGATGAATCTGTTTTTCCCAGGGGATTTTTCTCTCCTTGAACAAGTTGGTCGTAATTTACATGGCAGATGAAATTGATTTGTCTTGGAACCATGACAATTTTTTTTTTCCAGATCTGCACAAACAGAAAAGTCTCAAGATGATTGGATAATTTAGTATAGTTTTTTGTTCACTATGAAGGAACTTTAGATTTGTAGGGTTTTTGAAGAGCAATAAACATTATTAAGAAATGGGGTGGGATTTAATTGACTCATTCTTGAAAATTTAATACTTTTTTTACACAGTTGCTGTGATTTTTGTGGGGTGTAAATGAAATTCAAATTATTAAAAACATAATAACTTACACGTAATAAAATATTAATAGTTCATTTTCATCAAAGTGTGTTGATTATTTTGTTATATAAGTTGGCCATTGTTTCCAAGTTTTTAAATTAATTGTTGTGGAAGTAATGTTTTTATTTAAAAGTAATTTAAAAGACTGATCACTAAATGTAAGATTGAGTTTATAGAGCCAATTAAAATATTGTATTTTTAGTTAGTAAAAACAGAACAAACTTAGTTTGCTAATATGCATATAATCATGCCAACTCATCTAAACTTTTAAACTTCATGCTTGTAAACAGGTGCACAGACCCAAAATGAAATAATAGATTGTAACAAAGATTTAATGCTGCCAGTAAAAAGCCATAAAAAAGTGACTGTATTGATAACATTTTCCTCAGGTAGATCTATACAATGTAATAAAATACTTGGAATCAATACAGAATTTTGCCCATTCTTTTTACATAGGATCAGCTGTGTTATTGTTTACATTTAAACAACTCAGCTGAGCTTGGCAATCTGTCAATTCTTTGTTGTGAAGACTGTTATTGAGAAAGTATAGATCAACCTTTATTGGCATTAGGGGTGGGGGACATATTTCTTTTTCCCCTTTGATGTTTACATCATTTATGGATTAATTTGCTCTTTGAAATTTAAAAATCATTTTTTGGGGGTCTTTTTTTATTAAAATTTGTTAGTAGAATTTGTTGAGATTGTCTAAATCCCCCCCGGGAAAAAAAATTCTTTGTCTGAAAATAGATACATGTTTGCATACTTGAAACAAATTTCAGTCTCTTTTTGACCATGTAGTATTTAATTTATTTTTTCTCTTATATACATTTTTACAGACCAGACAGTATACTCTGTTCCATTGTTCAAATATACGTTAATTAATTAGTACATAGAAATTGTAGATTTTGAGGATTTGATTTTCTTATTTTACTGACAGGCATAATACCACCCATATAGAAGTTATTATATTGAATTTTATCAGGTGTAAAAGTTTAAAGCAGAAAGGATTTTGCACCCTGAAAAGTACTAAAGCCAAATGAATATCTCTATATATTGCACATTTGGATGATTGGTTTGAAGTAGAAACTGCTGTTGATATCGTTGATAATGTAGACCGCTCTACACCCTTATAAATTCTCGATTTCTTGTAAGAGAGGGTAACTCAGATATTGATTAGACTAATGCGAGATAAGTTTTTAAAATAAGATGTACCTGTCACCGTCTATTCTATTAGATTAAAGGCTTATGCCACAGCTAACAAAGTATTACATAAGAATAAACTTAGATGAGCTTCTTCATTTCGGGTAGAAGATAAACCCAAGGATTTGCGATCAACAGTGTTAATGAAATTTTTTTTGTCTGGCTTTGCGTAATGTTTGGATAAGTGGGACATAAGGTTCTTTGTTCCAGGTAAGTAAAAGATAGGTATATTAGGACCTGCTGAGTAAACACAAGCTGTGATAATCTGGCCCACTAGTTAATGAGTTTGGAGGGTTTTAATTTTGTGGGTCAGTCTTGCTGGTTATGTTATAATGATCTATATGTATACTGTGGAATCTGGATTTTCTCGTCATTGATATTCTGCGGTCAAAGACTTTATTTGTGTGATAATGAGTTATTTTGGTGGAAACTTCGATATTGAGTTGAACTTGAACCAAATTTCAGACTCCTGGATTTCTTCATTCATTTGACTTATTTCAGCAGAAGTACATACTAGTAAAACTTAATAAATAAATTTACTTTTAATTTACTGGTAGGTCATTGAGGGTCATGAAAAATTCGTTGAGGAAAAGTTAAAACTTTGACATTTGCAATATGGCTTGAATTTTATTTTCTTTTTAGAAACCATGTGTAAACCTCTTAGTCATGTTAATATTTGAAGTTTGTACAAAGAATTGAATGATGTAATTTGGTTTTTTTAGATGAAAAAAGTGTATTACTAGGACCTCAGAAAGGAGCCAATGCTGGGGGACATCAGGAGAGATGGTTCTTACAAGATGTCACTATAGATGCAGGTAAAGTGTACAAGTCATGTATATCTATGCTATTTGCCAATTTATATGTCTTTGTAAGGGTTGTGTGTGCAGTGCTTACACAATTGAATCAAAGTTGGACATCTTTTTGGTGTATGGAAAGGTTTAATGAAATAATAAGAAACCTGGCTGGATCATTTATTTATTTATTTTTTATTGTATTTTTAAATGATCATGGATCATGGAATTTTTTTCATTAATTAATCTGGATATCGAACTGTAAAAAGAAATCAATTATCATTCAAAATTAATTAGATTTTACTAAAACAAACCTGTATTTGATTCATTTGTTGTAAAGAACAAATTTATCTGGAGGCCATCAATTCACCAGCATGTTTTGTTAGTGTTGATGAAAGTCAACAACCGGTTATTACTCCCACATGTATAACCAACATGATTAAATTTTGATTTCAATTTGTATACAGAACATTTAAATCATAGCTAGGAAAACAAGTTCTATTTGTTCTGCACATGAATAGAAACAAATTTCAATTATGAAACTACTAGTGCATATACATTTCAATCTGTTTGCAATTGAACTGATTTTTGTCTCTTTTTAAAATTCTGCATCGTCATGAATTTCCTAGAATTTTAATGAATGAAATCTACAATATAGGATGCTTATAACGAAATGCCAGGGACAACCGATTTTGCTTTGTTATAAATTAATGTAATTTGTTATGTCCGTTAAATTCACAAAATAGTTTTTATAAAAAGCCATGGGGAATGAAAATCACTTGGCTGTAAGTATCAATTCAGTTGTAAGTGTGCATGTTCACTATAAGCATATTTTACTGTATAATTTTCTTCATAATAAAGTATAGGTCTTAAAATTGGAGGACTTTGATGTCTTTAACTTTGAAATGAGCTATGCTTTTAATTTTTCAGATGATGCCAAGAGTCAAACTAGTCTGCTGGATTCAGAATCAACGTACTTACCTCTAGAAATTGCCTCCACCCCAAACAGACCAATGACGGCCCCGGCTGTGTCTAGTTCTGCCCCCCTTAATAACTATCCATTTTACATGCAGACTGACAATAGGCCTGCAACGTCAGCGGAAACTCGCTATGAAGTGTATGACCGTCGACCAATTAAACCTCTTAATACTGATGTGTTCAAGGGAATTAAACATAGTTTTCAAGTGTCGCCACCTACGCAATCCGGAAATGAGCCGGCTTTAGGAACGAAAAAGAAAACGCCTCCAACGGCACAGGCACATGACTATGACACAAGTCAGGAAGTGTCGCAAATTGAACAAATTTTAAATCCGCCTCCAAAGGAAAATATCCCAGTGGAGGATATATCAAAGATTAAGGATATTTCACAGGATCGCAAGTCCTCTACCAGGCGGAGTGCTTCTCAGAGAACAGAACGCAAATCGGCGCAAAGTAAAAAAGACAATGTGGATCGCAGTAGTATACCAGTGTCTAGTAAAAATAGTGCCCCTATTTCACGTACGCAGTCAGACTACACCAAAGGGCGATATGCCCCTCGCAAATATTCAGAACCTAGTGATAAAGTTTCTTCTAGAACAAGAAGGACGGATTCTAAGTCCAAGGGAAATCGAGATTCTGGAGTGTTTTCCAGACCCAGTAGTGATGCCATCCTAGACACAGGTAATTATGTTCCTCAGTGCTATTACATTATACAATCAAGACTGTGTTATCATTTTCAGGTGGGGGTGAAATAACATTTTACAACAAAATTCAAGCAATAAAATGCTAATTTAGTTTTTTTTATAATAAAGGTTGAAATTTCTGGAAACTCATCCGCTACTTTTAATAAAACAGAGGCTTTTTGGTTTTAAAATTGTCTTTATTACAGAATTGTGACTTAAATGCATGTAATTCATGAAATGGCATTATATATGTACACTGTGTGTTTGAAACTGCAGAAACCTTAATGGTACTTTGTCTATGTTTTTCCCAGAACATTTAAATGTTAAATACCTCAGAGGACTATATATGACATAAGCTCTAAACACAGTCTGGGTATTGCATGGTGTGATTGCAAACTACCGCAATGTTATCCCGCTTCAACAGGCAACTTAAGTCAGCTCTATATTTATATACATGTATATATCTCAGATTTGTCAATGTTTTATTGCTACAGACCATTTTTGGCCAATATCCAGTTTCCTTACAACACCTACACCATTTCCATTTAGTATATTATAAAGCATTTTTGTTTAACATGTTCAAAGGCTTAATACAAATAAAGACCTCAAAGACTGCTCTAAGGGTTTGTGAAATGAATCCATCAATAATGTATTGCATCAGGGATAGAAATGAGTAAATCGGAATATTGACTAGGTCAGGTTAATAGAAGGACAGATATAAAATCTTTTAAATTAGCCCACTGTCATGCCTATAGTGCAGATGTTGGTCAAAGGACAGCATTTATGGATTTCCAATCCTGGCGTGCTAAAGTTAATGATGAGATACAAGTGCAAACTGACCTTACAATCATAACATATGTAGCATCTCACCATGTATGATAATGATTTAATGTCGTGTTTTGTCATGCAATTTCGGTACACTTTATGCACTCTGTGAACAATTTGTAACAATATGACGTATGTTTGATTATATGTGATCAATTGACATCATGGTTATATAAACATGATAAAGGCTCTCCGTTATTTCTTCATCTGAAAATAGATATGACCATTTTTTTTTTCATTATTCCTATGTACTAATTCGTTTTTTTGTTTTCGGTACATAATTTATGACATTAGTAAATGTCAGACTGCTGTAGAAAGGTTTTTCCAGGAAGGGGTTGGGACTTAATTAAAATTATATTTTGACAGTTGACCTAATCAGAAATCGTCTGAAAAACAAAAGAAAAAGGATGCTGTACACAACTAGTAAGCCTTGGGAAATGGAGAATTTTCCTTTTTTCCATGTTTTCTGGGGGAGGGGGGATCCATTTTCGATCCCTTATGTAAGCAAGCTAGTAGCCAAGTTTATGCTCTATGAAATGTCAAAATTCATTTTATTGGAAGAAGGGAAAAGAGTGGGGGGGAGGGGGGGGGGGGGGCTGTTCTTAGAATACTTTGATACTGAGAGATTTGATAATAAGATGTTCATGGGTAAAACGAAGTTAACATATACATTAATACTGTTGCTTTATATTTATTCTGCTTGGGACAGAACCATTCTTTAAACTGCAAGCCGTATATTGATTATGAGAAAGATTCATGTTGAACATGTTGAAACTTGGAGATTAAGAAGAAGATAAATTATATTTTTGTTGCACTAAATGCTGCATAGTAATTTGTTGCCATTTCCTTTGAATGACTATATTGACAGTGTTGTGAGTAAATGTTTAAGATGTTAGAAATTTGGAGAGTCAAAATATCACCTGCACACTATTAATTTTCAGACATTTTTGTATATAGTTGAGAACTTAACATATTGTGAAGTGCTTACGTGTCCCCCATTTCTCAGCAGGTTTTGTAAGAAGTTTGATAAATGGAGATCTAATATGAGTTTTCAATGTTACCAACTTTATCCCAGATAACCTTGTCTTATTTATTGTCAACCATTTTTTGCATCAAGCTCACACCAAATGATTGATTGAAAACATAATTAAAAAACATATAAAATGCCTTTATAATATATTCATAATAATAAAATGATTCATTGAGATAGAAATTTGAAATATTATTTTAACTAAGATTTGAAGCATTTTCATTTGTATGACCTATTTAGCAGTGGGGGTAAGTTTTTGTCGCTCATCAAATGTAGGGCATAATATTATTATTAGGTGATATTTAAAAGCTTGCAATATCTTTGTATTTGAACAGACTGGCCCGTACCAGGCTTTATTTTTTTGGTGTAATTTTTTTTCGTGTTGTATTCTTGGTCTGAGCAGCAGGTCTGAACATAGTGAATGACTTTCATTATGGGAGACTTTTTTTTTTCAAGGTTATTATTTTCAATTACGTAACTTATGAGCAAACCGTCGGTCTGTAGTGACATCGATTAGATAGTAAACTGTCTCTTTTATCTCCAATATTGGCAATATCTCCATTTTTATGTTGGTTTATTGCACAGTCGTGTAATAAGGGACTGCAGTATATTAGAAGTAATGGCAGATGTTGCTAAGCAGTTGCAGACAGAGTTGCAATCTGTTTCCATGGAAATTTGGTGGCCTTTATTTTCATTAGTGTTTATATATGACCATGCAATTTGTTTTTTTGGAAAGTTTTCTTTGTTTTAGCTTGAATTATCAGAAATTTGAAGTTTTTCCAAATATTTTCAATTAAACCAGTGACATTTATTTAGTATAACCAACATAACACAAATATATCAAGGTACATACAAGACATATATGAATGCATTGTAAATAATGCTGGATAATGGTAAACATAGTTGTATTTTTGATACATTATCATAATAGTGGATTTTCAAAGGAATGCAAGATTTTGGGACATTTTTTTCTGTACACATAAGTTTGATATGTGTATTTTGCTTGACCAAAAAAATAAATAAATAAATAAATAAATAAATAAATAAATAAATAAAAAAAGAAAAGAAAAGATAAATTCTCCAAGGTTAATATACTTTTGATTTTTTTTGGAAATAAATTTCCAATGTAATGTTTTGATACCTTATTAAAGATATTTCTCAGGAATATCATATTTTAAGTACAACACTTGATCATTGTTTCCTGAGTAAAAATGAGATATCCCATATATGTTAAGATTTTTTAGATTTTAGTTTTTTAATTATTTTGAAACTATTTATCTACATGTATAGTGTTTCAAACTCTGGGACTTGAGATTTAACAACAAAGCAATTGTAATTAAGTAATAATAAATTTATTGTTAAATTTTCAATTCGCCAGGAAGAATTATGGTTTAAATGGGATAGGATTCTTATCAAATTCTCATAAAAAATATTGGTATTAACAGATTCCTTATCCATGCATGTAAATGATGGAAAGACAAATGCACATTTGAAAGATTTGATTTAAAAAGAAAAAAAGGGCATTCAACATGTTTTTAAAATGATTAACTTAAAAAATTCCAGTTTTCTTCATATTTTAATTGTTTTTCACAATGCCCAAGTGTTTTTCTAAGATTCTCAAAGAACTAGGTTCACTTAGGGACTTTTTTGGCATTGTGAATTCCTGAAAAATCAAAACTGCTCAGTGTTGGTTGAAAATACATTAAATTTTACTTGGACCCTTGGTGACTGCTTATCTATATTAAAAATGACATAATTTTCTCGCTAGTCCATTTATTATGACATCTTGATTGCAAAATTATTGTCAAATCCTAAAGATCTTTTCAAAAATGGCCAAAAGTTTTAAGTTGTGCATTTTTCAATAGTTTGCATACAGCCCAACCATGTCCACTTATATAATGAAAGAACTGCCTCAGAAGATTTTAATCTATGTTTTATTTTTAGATCGAGGGGTGGGCTCATATTATTTGAATTCTTTGCTGAAGGTACTTAAATACACCAATTTTCTTCAAAATTCAAGAACATCGCAATTTCACAAAGCCTGTTTTTCAATACCTGGACTAGCTCTCAGAGAAACAATTTTTTTGGAAGTGAAAGCACTAAGTCTCTACTTAATATTGATGTTTGAAATGGGACATTGGGACTTTGTCAATTCATTGGTATATTGGTAGGGCCATTTTATAGATAAAGTGAACCTTGCTCTTTATCAATTACATTACATGCACACAGAGCTCCTTCTCAGATTATTGGTGCAATTAGGTCATTTAACACATAACCATTTCCATATTAAGTTCATGATTATAGCTTTTAAGGGTATAGCGTCATATCAAATGTTTTTAATCTTAAAATCAGACCACTCTTGATACAATTAGGTAAGGCACAAAAATACAGTCATGTTACAGAACTATATTCTACATAAGGCCAAGAACCTTGTTAACAAACTTTAAGGCTATTTAATTGGATAATCTTTGGTTTTATAACAGAAATGTGTGGATTAACTTCAAAGAGTCTCTTTAGGGTATATGATACTTGTAAACATCAAAGTTCATTTTAAGTCAGTTTTAAATTTACCAGTCTGGCTTTTATTTAATCAGGATTGAAAGATTTAAATTTTGAATATATAAAAATGGTGATGATGTCTCTTTTATGTGTGTCAGTTTATTTGTACCTGTCATTTCATTGTTAAGGATTGTTTTTTAAATAACCTTAATCATGATTAAAGTCCCCTTAATCCTAGAGCTCTGGTGTAACTGTGTTTTGTAGTTGTTGTTTTGACCATGTCAATATGCCTTCTTATTGCAACCTTTCTAGACAGGATTGCATTTTTTTAATAAGCACTATCAACACCTAAGGAAAGAATTTCTAATTCACATCTAGTGATAAAAGTAAAATTGTATATGGAATTTTTATTGTGGGAAGTGTTTGAGGACAATGTGATGTTTTAGTGTCCTTTGGATATCTTGAATTTCAATCTGTTGTTTGACAACTTCAGTTGGCAATGCCTTGGTATAATAAAACTGTCAGAGGTAGGAACTGACTCTAATTATTCCACAGCACATACAACAAAACAGATCTTTTTTATGTGTTCTTATGATCATGTTAAATAAATTTACCCCATACAATGAATCTGTACTATGAAATAGTAAATACTCTGATGCAATGATTGTCCAGTGTGTACAAGGTTTTGTTAATTAACATGGTTAAGATATGAGAATCCACTGAATTTCAAATGATTTAAACATGTTAAATGAAGAAGATTAAATGATGTGTTGAGCTTTTTTAAAAGTATTATGATTTTCTTTCAGACCACAGGGCAGCAACTTTAATACAAGCAACATGGCGAGGATTCTGGGCTCGGGAGCACAACCCAGAAGTTGTGTCAGTACGCAAGGAGATCCGAGCTCGCCGCGCAGAGGATCACATAGTGGTGCTTAGGTCTGAGCTAGATAGGTACGGAATATCTTACATTTCTTGGGATCTGTTTTAATTAGAGATGAAAGATCTGAAATATCCTTTGTTCATTTCCTGGGATCAGTTTTATAAATCAAGCTAGCTGTCAAATACATTTTCCCATATAACATTTCCTGTTAGGAGAGCAATTTCAGGATGGGGAATTTGTAATAGTATATAATAAATTAATGATAAATATTCCTTTTGGAAGGCAACATGTTTGCTGAAAACAATTCAGGGACTTGTATTTTATGATCCTGAGATTAATAGTTTAATATTGTAATTGTAGTGTCGATGTGTTTATAGTATAGTACATTGGCATGAATTTTCCTTCATGACTTTCTAAATGATAGTACATGAATTTTTATACATATTTACAGGCAGAGGAAGTTGTATGATGAAGAACGACATTTGAGAGGACTACAAATGGAAGCCATCCGCTGTTTGTGGAAGGAAGTTCAATCCCTCCAAAGCTGGAAGTCCGAGGTCCTCAACTCCCAACAGTTCAGAAACACTATGGATTCTAGTCACCATGACGATAGTTATAACTACAGTCAGGAGATCCAGAATACCCTCGAGAGGGTAGACGGTCGTCGTGGTGACAGTGGGAGGATGGGGTCATTGTCCTCGGTGGAGGAGGAGAGACAGAGGGAGTTAGAGAGGACCTGTGCTAGTCTGCAGAATCAGGTACCATATATACCCAGACATAAAACTTTGCTCAACATTGTAACTTCTTAATACGAAAAGGATATATATTGAATATGGCAGTGCATGTTTCAGTTTGTGTATATGAAGGCTAGTGTGTGTACATGCTGACATTAATTTCAAATTCCAAAAGGACATTCTGCACTACCTACAAATGTACATGCCCTTCTTTAAATTTATTCATATAAAGACAGAATTGAATATTTGATAAATTTAATGCTCTTTTAAATTCAAAGGATAGATCTATCTTTTTTAACTGTCAGTTTAACAATTACACAAATCAATACTGAAGATATGTATTACCCAGTTACTACATTTGTATTTTTGTTTTGTAGGTGGCACAGCTCTCTCAGGCTCTACAGTCAGTTTCTAGTGTTGTGTTCCAAAGTGGCATTATGACAGCAGGCATGGACTCCATCAATAATGGTTAGTATGAGAGTGATCGGCTTGGGATTTATAGCTCAGAATAGATGTCCCATTTAAAGTTCTAAATGTGTTGAAGTGAATTTACTTTGAGTGTCCATTTTGATCTCCACTTAAAATTCTTTATTACAGATGCAGAACAGACATTGTTAGTCACAGGGTATGAGGAGGATGAAAGCTCCAGTTGTGAAGAGACCAGTTATACTGGTTCTAGATGGGGTATAATTTTTGGTTTCCTTAAAAAAAAATAGTTATGCACGAAAAAAATCTATTGGAGTTCTTCCATGCATTGTTATGTGATAGAATTAAAAGCTTAAAACAAGTGCCAGATATAAAAAGATCCTTATCAATGAAGTATTATAGTAACATGATTTTCCGAGTACTTTTACAATGTTTCTTTTTCATTTTAGCAACAGTCCCCCATTCCCTCTCTCCCTACCCTTCAGAGGAGGAGGAACAGTACTTTTACTCCTTCCCTCAGTTAGGCTGCCCCACTCCTCCCAGAAACCTGCATATGGATCACAAGGGAGAAAACTCCATTGTCCTGTCCTGGGGTCCCTCTAAAATCTTAGACTCTTCATATAAAGAAGTCAATAAACCACTTCTTGGTATGTACACAAGAGCTAAATATAAAAAAGAGAATTTTCTGTGTCATCTTTTTGCACAAATCTTTAATGTTTGTAAAGGGAAAGTCAGAATGTGTGGTATGAAAAAATGATGCAATACTAAGGGGATCTTGGGATAATGCATAGACTTTTATTGCTTTTCAGGATACAGAGTATATGTGGATGACAAACCAGTAGCCATGATTAATGGTTTGGCTGCCCTTGTCCATGGCCTCAACCCTGAGTTAACATACAAGTGAGTGCTAGAAAAATTCAATGTTTAAAAAGCATAAAATCAACATGATATTGAATTTTGTTCACCTTTAGTAAGTGACAAGTAAGTTTAATGTAACAGTTTTTGGTCAGTGTTGGTAACAAATTCGAATCTCTCTTATAGGATATATGTGAAGGCCGTGTCCTCTCTTGGAGAGTCCAACTCCTCAGACATTTTGATGGCTGCCCTGTCCCAAGCCACACGTAAACGTGCCTCTAGTACAGACAGTAACAGAACAGACAGTGATCACGATTCTACAGAAAGTTCAGACATTGCACGTCGACGGAAGGACAATCATCAGCGACAGAAACGGAGAATTAAATCTCCTCGCCAAGACAAGAGACAGTCGAGTAGAAAAGGATCCAGTGCAAGTGATCAAGACAGACCTTCTTCTAGGTCAGAGAAATCAAAGTCAGTTAACAGCACAGAGGGTGTATTCAAACAGCCAAAAATTCACATGAGACCAAGAAGTAGGGAATCAACTCTGCATGCAGAGGCTCAGTGTTCGGAATCTGCCCAAAGCCTGCCACAACCAAGTGAGTCAAAAAGGTCACCTCAGCCAGGAAGTCAGAGCAAAGGACCATCTACCTCGCAATTGTCAGAGACTTTTACTGTTGAGTCATCAGAGTCCCTACTGATGGCCATCACAAGAGCTCAAAGTAGCCTTGGGATGCAGGAATCAAATGAACAGTCAGTGAAAACCCATAGAAGAAAACGTAGCAAAGACTTAAAAGCATCTGACTTACAAGATGAGGATGTAAATCAGAATCAAGCAAGTCCAAGTGCAGGAAGTGTTAGTTCACATTCTTATAATATTGTAGAACAGCTCTCCAAAATTTCAAGTGACAAAGACAATGTGAATAAGAGTGAGGATATTCCTAGAGAAAAAACACAAACACACCGGAGAACTAGGAGTAAAGACTATGAGTGGAGGAAAGATATAGATGTGTCTGGTCACACCAAGGAACCGGAGAGGAGAGAAGTGAAGAAGGCTTGGGTGAAGGACTCTCCCACTGGTGAAGTACATGGAATTCCTATCATTGATGCTAGTAAAAGACATTCTTCAGGTAGCAGACCGAGTAGCCCTGCACCTTCAGATGCTTCAGAGAAGTCGGAAAAGAAGAGGACAGTGGCAGAACTTCTGGAGAAATTCTCAAGCAAGAGCAGTGCAAATTTTGGTACTAATTCATTAGGGACAGAAGGCAGTGATCAACATGCTGGTTTGCCTCCTAGGTCACGAAGGACAAATAGCAATGAAGACGTGAGTGAAAGTAGGAGAACTCCTACCAAAAACATGTCTCCATCTGGCAATGAAAGGCGAAGAACTCCGTCCAATGGATCAGAGAGTGATGTGTCAGAAATTTCTAGTTCCTCTGCTGCAAGGCAGCTAGACATGGACAAGAAACCAGGAAACACAGGGATAACTAAACTGTTACAGAAGCTTCAGAACTTTTCCAAAAGCCAAGAGGAATCCATTCAAAGTCGGGCCCAGAAAATGAAGAAAAAATCCACATCGGAAAGCCCAGGAATCGAGGAGGAGCATCGTCGACCGAGGAGGATAAGTGGGGGGAGTGAAGGGGATTCAGTTTCAGAAAGGACAGTTCATCAGAGCGATAGTTCCTCCCAGTCAGATGATCCACAACTGAATAGAAAACCTTATAAGACCCACAAAAGGTAGACAACTGAAGACCAGGATGACTCGTAGTTCTCTCCCTTAGATACTTCTGTAGTAATTCTACTCGCACTATCCTTTATTTAAAGAAAAAAACTTCAAATTTATAATGCATGTGCTCTGAAAAAATACTGCCTTTGTAGATGACTTTAACACTTATTAGAACATTTTTGTAGTCATTTCTACTTTATTTTCTAGATAAATTTTTATTTATGTAGCTGTTTCTACTGTATTTCTTAGATAAAGTTTCTTTCTCTCTTTTTGTTGTTTGTTTCTGTCTGATCTTGTAGTTTGTTCAGGATAAAATGTATTTATTATGATACAAAACTATTTCATGTCAAAGTGAAGTTGGGATTGTCTGCCCTCATACAACAATGCAGATGTGAAATTGCCTTAATGTTGGGGGTAAAAATTCTTCATAGATAAACTATATACCCTCAGGGAGCAGTCTTTCAAGGAAGCCTTTTAAAATATTAAATTATTTATAGATTGTTGAAATATGTACAGAAAGTGAATTCTTAATCTTTTTAAGGTCTAAAAATAGATTGAAAATAGTTTATGTATAAAACCCTGAAGCTGTTGTTCATCTAAAAGTAAAATATAAGATTCCTTTATCTGTTCATCTAGTGACAAAATGTTTTATTTATCAATACTACAATTCATATCATCTTATTCATAATGGAAATCTTGAATTGGATAACTTTTATATAAACTAACAATTTCAATTTTTTTCTCCTGTGTTGTCTTAAAATAGTGCATCAATGATTAATTCTTGCAGCTGCACAATATTGTCAATTACATATATTGTCCTCTGTTGACCCTTGACCTTTGTTTGTTTTACCTCTATAGATCTGGCTCAGACCAGAAAGTGAATGTCTCTCGGCACCGCCAATCATCTGCACCTTCCACCCCCTCGCATCACTCTGCCCACAGTAGCCGTGGTAACCAGTTTGATGACTACACACCAAGACCAGGGTCCAATGTCAAACGCACTGCTTCATTCCATGGTGTGACTCCTTCACCCCAGAAGGAGGTTCAACCAAGAAGGAGTGGTTCAGATGTATGTATTAAATTACATATGTACCAAAGTATATCCTTTAGAATTTTTAATTTTAGTCAATAAATTTATGCTTTAAGGTCAGGCAATTTAATTTTATTTGAAGTTAGGTAAAAGTATGAACTATTTACTTAAAAGAATGGATCATCAATGCATGATAATAATCTATAGTACTTACTAATAATGCTAACTCACGAGTTCCCTTAAAGAATGACTTATTAAAAATTTAGCATTTTCTGTTGGGTCATGCAACTCTTTCATTGTTTTATGTTTTTCAGTGCTAATTATGACATGAATATTATTTGGATTGTAGGAAAACTTGTATGATAAAATGCAACAACAGTCCACGGTATGTATCTCTAGATCATTCATCTGTTCACTGTGTTTCATCTCTCTAGCTGTAGGCTTTTTCATTAGCACTCTTTAGTTCAGATCTCTTGGTTGGCATCCATTTGTATTCATAATCATTTCCATTTATCTGAGTTATTAAATTTTGAGTGAATTGATATTGTTATTGAAATTGCTTTGTGGCAATAGCATTTGCATTATCATTAGTTGGATTCATATAGGAAACTGCTTTAGTAAAGACTGCATTTCAACAAACTAACAATGTTAATGTGATGGCAAATTAATTGTAGAACACAAATGGACAATTTATCCAGAAGTTGAAAGATAGCTATAATGAAGATAGTGCATTAAACTTCATACAGGACAGAAGAGACTGTGTGTTATAAAGTCTAATTGTTTTCTTTTATTAGGAATTTTCAACTCATTTACTCATTTCATCATCAGCTCATTTTCAACTCATCACAGACCAAGGTACATCTTGCCTGTCACAGTGTCATGCAGTTTCTGTCTTTTAAATTGATGTAATCACCATACATCTTCGTGTTCTCACACATTTTTTAATGTCTTGTAAGATGTGTTCATCTAGTATATATGCATGAATTTTGACCTCCTTTTAACTTGGAATTTTTCTCTCTCTCTCTCTCTCTCCCCCCCCCCCCCCCCCCATTTTTATTTTAAATGGAAAGAATGAAAAATCTATGCTTTTTTCATTAAAATGAGAAAAATACATTGTAAGTTTGCTGATTTCTCTTTTAGAAAAATGTTACATGCAAGAAAAAATAACCCTCTTTTCCCATACAATGTTGTTTAATTTTCATAGTCCTTCTGTTCAGTCATATAAAATGCTGCTTAAATGTATTTGATTTTCCAAAAGAAATGTATTTTATAAATAAAATGCAAACAATATTAGCATAGCGTATGGGGCAAAATAGAACAGAAAAAGTCACTTTAACTTGACAGATTTATAAAGGAATAATAAGACATTATCCAAGTATGAATTATCTCTCTTATCTGAATATCAATGAACCTTGGCCATTAAAAATCTATGTATATGGTTATATCTCCATAATCTTGAAATGAGGTTACTTTCACATTTTTTAAAATTTTATTTCTTTATTTTATTTATTTATAATTCTTTTTTTTTTCTTTGCCTTTCTGTTGCTGCAAACTTTTCCTGAAAAAGATAGGAATTTTCATATCTGTTCTCACCTTTCACAAGGCTTTTTAACCAAAAAGCCTGTTCATGTTTGCACGCTTCTCTCCCCTTTTTGACATTCATCCAAAATAGACAACCCCCCTGTGTCTTGCTAATGTTATTTTTGTTTATTTTTTGTGATCAGGAATAAACAAGAAATTCACACAATTGGTATCAGGTATAGCATGCTGAAATTGCACTGTTTGCAACTTTGCTTTCTTTGCAGTTTTGATGTTCAATTTTATAAGTAGCAATCCAATCCACTCTGTAGTTTTCTTGCTTTTTTGAAATCAAAGTAAGCTTATAGCTGCACAAAACAAAATAGAACTGACTTTGTTTGTAGTCTTTAAGCATTGAAGACAATTATAATTGCAATTAGTATTGTTCCAATATAAGTTTTTAAGTATACATAGTGTTTTTATTCATAGTTTATAAAATAGAAATTAAGAAATGAAAACTACAGTATTATTTGGATTGCTCTGAACTCTGTTTCTGAAGGAACATGCAAAATGTGTATAGATGGTTATTTATTTACCTAGGTAAATAAATTTGTTTCTTCAGAAATGGGTTCATACTTTTATTGGAAATGTGTGCAGTTTGCTAGAGTTAAAAAATTAATTGATCACTGTACACAGGAGTTTTAATTGCTTCTGTTTTGCTCACTTAGCAAAATTTAAAATATGTAATCTATTTGATTTATCTCTTCAATACCATTTTATGATACAGTAGTTACTTTATAGGCCAATAAATACTTTGTAGTTCCTATTAGAGAGAGAAAATAGGAAGTAATGTAGATGCTTTGAACGTATAAACTAGGTCATTTGTATAGAGAGATGAAAGGAAAAACTAGAATGCTTTTTTTTCAGTCAAAAATATTTATACACAGTAAAATTTCCTCTTTATTCTTTAAAAGTATTTCTTAACACATTTTTTGTTTATTTTTTAAAATTATTTTTTATGTAATTTTTATTAATTCATTTATTTATTTTTGGCAGAAAAAATATTTTTTATAAACTAATAGAATATTTGGGTAGGTAATCATTAATTAGCTTATTTCTTAAAAGATCATAAATTCATACTTTTAATTAAAAATATGTTTTGAGGAAATAAAAATATGAAGATATCATGTGTGGAAATTGGTATGAAACTAATGCTTGAATGAAAGTAGATATTAAAGTCACAGGAAAGAAGCTAAATTCTTTATTTGTGATTTAAATCTTTTTTTAAAGGGATGGATTCATTTTGACCAGAAAAAAAGGTTATGATATAATTTAAGTTTTTAAAAGTAAAGTTTTGGGTGCTACAGTCCCTGAAACGTTCTACTTTCCCACTTGAACGGTGAGCGAACGGTGAACGAACGCTGAACGAACGCAGAGCGAACGGTGAGTGAACGATGTGTGAACGCTGAACGCAACTTGGTGAACGATGTGTGAACGCTGAACGGTGAGCGAACGCAGAACGCGAACGGAGCGCAAACGCGAGCGCAAAGTGAACGGTGAACGAACGGTGAACGCAAGATGAACGATTTATTCGGAATGCCTCTGATCTTTCCCTTGCATTGAAACTATTCTATTGTATTCTAATGCCTGGTGCTAAATAAATAAATAAATAAATAATAAATAAACAAATCAGTGAAAATTGTCCTATGAAAGATGATACATGCACATTAAGTAAAATTATTAATTTAAGTTCCTTACAATATTTTCTGCACATATGTACGATGTTTAAATTCAACTTTTTGATAATACGATTTTTATCGCTGTAAAACATTGTAATTGTTACCGAACGCTGTGTTATAACAGATGAAATTAATCTAGTTGTAAAATAAATATGTTTATTCTTATTTTATATATAAAACCATTACAAATAATGTGGATTTTAGAAGAGAAAACTACGGACTTATAGAATGAATTACAATGGTTTTAACAACCATACAAGGCGATTCCGTGTAAAATAATAAGAAAAAAAAAATATTTTACAAAGGTATGTGGACGTATTGCATAAATACACTCGTATTTTAAAATTTTAATGCAATAATATATTTATGTGTCAGTTTTATTTTTATGATGATTTATTAAGCAGACTTCTACATGTATCTGTAGACATTTCCCGACCGTGATTATACTCGGACAAGATGATACAAAGAGGCAATCATACTATTTGTTATATATTAAATTTTCACAACTTGATATTTAAGTAATATGCTGTCATAGTTTTTATTAAACAGACAAATGAGAGAGAGAGTGAGAGAGAGATTCGGTTTTACCCCCCCCCCCCATTTTCTCAAATGTTTGTACCTATATCAAACAAAAATTCTTATTTTTTTCTAAATATATCAGGCAGTGAAAGTAACCATTTTTTAAATCAACAAATGCATTTGTTTTACAGTCATAATCGGTTTTTATTTTCCTGCTTCAAGTTCACACGAAGTCCACGTGCATGACCTGTCAATCAAAATCATTCGACACTGTGCAGGTGTGAAAGTCTCGTCACACCGAAGGCAAACTGTTAGTATTTCCAAGAAGTTTTAACATTTTTTCTTATCATTTTAAGATCTGATTCCAACATTTCTAAAAATAAATAGATAAATAAATAAATAAATAAAATACATCGGGAATAAATACTTGGAATAATTAAGCCGCTTGAATTTGAAACATACTCCCTGCCAATTTAAAATATCACCGCCGGCACATGTATATTTTGAACTACTATTGTTTAATGACTTTGTTTAGATGCATGTTTGTTTGCTACAAAACACATTAACTTCTTTTTAAATGTTAATTAAAATATACTGGAAATACTAACTAAGTAACCGATTTAGGGGAAAGGGGGGGGGGGGGCTCTTAATAATATCAAATGACAAACATTTAAAGTTACGATGAAAAATATCATTACTGGAGAATCACTTTGGTTACATAAATGATAATCATGTTATAAAGGCATTTCTCTCTCTCTAATTAAAGACTTTATATATGTAAAGTTGAAAAAAAAACTCTTTAATGTATTGCATTTTAAACAAATATTTTTTTAAACCACACTATCAATTTAATTCGCTCTAAAGATATTTAATTAACTGGATATCCTCAGCACTGTTTATCATTCTCAGAAAAAGTTCTAACATGTATTTCTGTATTATTTAAAAAAAAATGTGATAGAAATAAATATTTTTGTATTTTTGCTGCAGTTGGTAAATTATTTGACTTCGATTATTTTCTATCTATCAACGATTTGTCGTCCTTAACGTAACAACAAAATGTTGCAGTGCTCGAAGTATCAGTATTTTGCCCGTATTTAAATTTAATTTTTCAGCATCGTTCTACTTATAACAACATTTATTTTCCAGATAAATTTTATTAATAACCTAACAGCTAAGTTAGAATAATAAAAATTAATTTTGTAGATTTTTTTCCCATGAAATAATGATTCTTTAAACACGGTATGTTATTTATTAAATTCAAAACCTGTAAATCCTTACTTAAAAAAGATAAGTCCTTTCACTTCGGAATTCCGAATGACACTGAAGACTGAACGATAGATGAACGCTGAACGCAAGGTGAACGCAAAGTGAACGAACGAAGAGCGAACGGTGAACGCTTTGTGAACGGTGAACGCGAGCGCACGGTGAACGCTGAACGCAAAACTGTGAACGGAGAGCGAACGGTGAACGCACGGTGAACGCACGCTGAACGAACGGTGAACGAACGGTGAGCGAACGGAAAAATGGGAAAGTAGAACGTTTCAGGGACTGTAACAGAAAAGTTAATATTCTTGGGGGGAAATTTTTGATCTTGCAGGTTAAAAGATCGAGAAAAGTCAATTTAGGACCAGAAAAAATTTAAAGGAATATTTTCTCAGTATGCATAAAAAAAAATATTTAAAAATTTTAAAATTTCAAAAAAAAAAAAAAATCTTTTATTGAGGTGCATATTAATTTGCAGTGTATGATTTATTCAGAGGGCAATAATTTTTTTCTTCTTCTTCAGGACATGTTAATGGCAGGAATGTTTAATAGAAAGCAAAAACAAGAAAAACAAAGTGGTGTAAATGTTCAACATATTCCAATTCTCTCTGGAGCCAAACTACAGAAACAGCAGAAACCACCTTGATTAAGAAAAGAACAATTGTCACTGTGTGAACTGAACACATGATCACTGATATAAGATTTCATTCATGTGCCATGGGTAGAAGCACTTGGCAAGCAAGGAGGTCAAACATTCTCAGTCTTATTACAAGGGCACACCTTGCTAATGTGTTAAGATGAACTGTGGGCCCAGCAGCCCAATTTAAAAAAGACTAATGGTTTGAAATTTTTCTTAAACCTCAGAATCTGAAGATTGAAGGGAAAAAAGTTCTTAAAAGATGCATACACTTTCTGTTTCCTAATCTTTGAAGTCAAAATGCTTTATACATGTACATTATAATAAATAAATGTGTGTATATTTTTGAAACAAGTGAAAGAATTACTACACAATGTTCTTGAAACATTTTTTTGTAATTATTGTTTTGTGTTCATTATGTTTAATTGTGTAAACAGAGCAGGATTTTTTGACATGATTTGATATGCCTTCCTTTTATGTGCTTTTTTTATTTATGAGTATCTGCAATTACAGTCAAACTTTGTCATCTTGAACTCAAACTCAATGGAACAAGATAAAACTGAGAAATGTCAGAAGATTTGAGATTTTAAGGTTAAAATACAAAAAAAAAAAAAAAAATTGGACTTCAAACTCATTTGACATATCCACAGTATTGCAGATACCAACATTGGGAAAACCAGTTCAGCTTTATCATATTTAGCAAAAATAGATAATTCTACAGTTCAATTTGACGCTTTTATCATGTGAGTACAGAGAATTAATGTATTGAATTGTGAAGTTGGAAATTCACAGTAAAAAAGCTTGATACTATCAGAGTATGGATGTTGGCCTGTACAATATTGTATGGTGATTACAGATTCAGGAAAGTTATCACTGCCTCTTAGTTGATTTTTTTTAATTTAAGATTTTTTTCTTTTCTTTTTTTTTTTTGAAATTGCTAGAATGCATTATTGAGGGAATGTCTCGCTTGCATTATTATTTTAGGATTGCAATGACTATAGTGTGCTTTCAAAGTATTTTGTTTTTATAAATTTTAATAAGCTTTTTAAGTAATATGTTTCAGTCATTTTGTATCATATATTGTATATTAAGCACTAATATTGTATGCTATGTTTGATCAACTGACGGTATGTAAACAAATATTTTAGTTTATATATTCATATACCAGTCTACTTTTTCATAAACTTTGTCCCAAATTTGTAAGTTCTTGTCATTCAGACTTCTATGTAATTTTATGTCACAAATAACCATTAAGGACACTATACTATCAATGTTATATGATTTAAAAGCCCATTCTGTTAAGGCAACTTTACAAAATGTTGAGTAACTATTCCTCTGTGTGGTTATTGTGATATATTAATTCTGTGATATCAAAAACTGTTCTGTTGTAAAACGAGTTTTGTGTATCGTATATTTTCATATTTACAAAAAATTAGGAACCTCTTTATTTAATGGAGTCATGTTGGCAAGTAGGCTGCATACTTTTCACAGAAATTATTATTATGCTATTTTTGAATTTGGAAATATACATTTCCATAATTTTCTATTATTTGTTTCAAATATTTGTTAATTGTTATTTGCACAAAGCAAATACATAGGCAAGTTCCATAACTGTTACTTGCGAAATTATTGACTTAAAGGAAGTCTGATTTAAGAAAGCCATTTTCAGAATACTGTACAATTAGCACAGTAAGGGCTAGAAACTAGCAGAAACATTATTTCATCTTCCTTTCCAAAGTTGTTTAAAAATATTTTGATAAGCAAAGTATTAGTGTAAATAACCAACACAACAGAATTGTGTTTCTTTTGTGGAAAAAGTTCAATATTGTATGTGAATGTCTAGATGTATGAAATGCATTTATTGATGATCTATCTACGTACTGTGTATGTCACTATTTTGTCAATTTCTGATGAAACAAACGGAGAGTTTATTACATTGTACGCTTAACAATAAATATACGAAATTGGAAATATTTTTAAATTGATTTTTCATAAGGAATTCAACATCACAGGTAGAATCTTTCAGTGGAATGAATAGTCACTGCCAAAGCTGAAGGTTTGATGATAAAGCTTATTTCTCATTTAGATAGATTCATTAATACAACAGAATTGGAAACGTATCGGAATTTTTAACAAAATCCATAAAAACGATTGCTTTGTGGAAAAGAAAAAAAACAAGAATGCATTGTTTGTTGGCCACTTGAATATTCATAATAACATTAAGTAAAACATTTAATTCGTGAAAATTTAAATGAAAACATTCTATTCAAGTTTTGCAAGATTGATACATGTATGTGCATAAGGTTTATAGTTGCTTTACAAATTATTTCATTAAAATCATTATCGCACTCTACTAGTACTGTTACTCATTTGTCATATTGCCACTGAAGAGATTTTCTACCACATTATCTATTAAAACACTTTTCTCTAGCTGCCCCTCTTCATCAGCAATGTCAATAGTAGCCCCCACAGAGGATCTCCTTGCAGTAGATGGAGATGTTACTCCTAAAGTCGACTTTGGCACAGAAGAATTCGTACCCACATCTATCACATCATCCTTTTGTGTTACTCTCCCATTCCTTTTTCTCCCTTTTGTTTTTCTACCCTTTAGTTTTTGTCCTTGTCCCGTTCCACTGTTTCGTTCACCCCTACTAACATCCCCAGGTGTTTGAACATCCCCTTGTTGCAAGTTTCTTGCTCTTTCAAAGTTCACTTCTTTTATCTTTTTACTAGGCTTGATTTTTTTCTTTGGTATATTTTCTTGTTTGATCGGTTCACTGCTACCAATATTCCATGATTTGTCAGATAATCTGTTTTTAATTATGTTGTTCTGACGTTTCTGAGCTTTGAGAAATAGCGAATGCTCACGTGTTATCGGTGTCGGATTGTCAAAATAATCTGTTTTCATTTTAAATTCATGTCTTATTGGAGGAAGCGCTTGGAACTTAGAATGCTCCAACAGGTTGACTTGAAATACGGGATTAATTTCATTATTGTTGTCTTCGACATCACCTTTGGTCTGAAAGAAAAAGGAATTTGTATTACATTATTATTATTTTTTTTATTTCAATATACTTGTTATATAATTGCTATACAATTGCAATTGCTATTCAATGTCACAAGTGATACAAAATAAGATTTGATGAATAATTCTGGATTTTGTTGTTGCTTTTTGTTTTTATCTTTTAACCATAATAATGGATGTTATTTTGACAACAGTGTTCAAAGTTTAAATCAATTTTCTTTAATAGTTTATAACCAACCTTTTTTGCGCAGCAACATTCTTTTATTCTATCCTTGTAAAACAGAATCAGAGCACCCACTGCTAAGATTACCACCAGTATCACAATAGCAATAATGTATACAGCTGAAATATGGGGAGAAAATGGAATATTTACATTGTATTTTGTTTATATTTCAGTTTATTTTAGTCCCTAACAAAATTAACGAAATTATTTTATTCAAGAAAAGGAATATTTACATTGTATTTTAAGTTTATATTTCAGTTTGTTTTAGTCCCTAGCAAAATTAACAAAATTATTTTATTCAAGAAAATGGAATATTTACATTGTATTTTAAGTTTATATTTCAGTTTGTTTTAGTCCCTAGCAAAGTTAACGAAATTATTTTATTCAAGAAAATGGAATATTTACATTGTATTTTAAGTTTATATTTCAGTTTGTTGTAGTCCCTAGCAAAATTAACGAAATTATTTTATTCAAGAAAATAGAATATTTACATTGTATTTTAAGTTTATATATCAGTTTGTTTTAGTCCCTAGCAAAATTAACGAAATTATTTTATTCAAGAAAATGGAATATTTACATTGTATTTTAAGTTTATATTTCAGTTTGTTTTAGCCCCTAGCAAAATTAACGAAATTATTTTATTTAAGAAAATGGAATATTTACATTGTATTTTAAGTTTATCAGTTTGTTTTAGTCCCAAGCAAAATTAACAAAATTATTTTATTCAAGAATGCTTCAATAAAAAAACATGATATCATTTAAATTTATACAGATTGGTCACATGATCAAATTCTATACTTTATGGTAGATTTGACCAGGAACCAACCCGTATTTATATCGATCCCCATAAATGTTTAAAAAGTAGTTATTAATATTTGTGACTTATTTATAACAAATATTTGCGTATTATAGTTTGAAACTCTTGAAATGATTTTTTTTTCAAATCTTAACGATATGAATTGAACTTGAACACGTCAACCGCTATAACGTTACTGTAAAATTAACTAGGCCTAAATTATGACTTTATAATGGATTTGTGGTCATATATGATGAAATTGTTATATAGTGTAATACTTGAATAAAAGAAAACATTTGCAATTTAAATATAAATGTGAATGTGAAAGATTTATTAAAAAATTAATTCAACCAAAACCTGCAATAAATACGTATATCCATATATCTACATATCAGCTGTACATATTCACACACATTTATTCATTCATTTTTCCAGAAACATTTTTTTATTTTACATAAATTCAAACAAACATTCTTTCCGAGCAGTTTAGATTAAATTAGGATATGGAATGATAGATTAATTCGTTTCTTTAAATATTTTCCTACTCACGAGTTTCTTCGCTTTCGTGGGAATGTTGTACACAACAGGAAGTGACGTTGACATCAGTGGGAGCCGTGGAGTAGTTTTCAGTGCTAACCCAGGTCAGCGTTGTGAACTCCGGTGTCATATCTGAGAAATCTGAATGAAAGTAATCAAGTTTAAAATAGGACAAAATCAGTAAAATTATCTTTGACAACCATTTTAACGAAATAAGGGAAAACCAACAGTCTGTTTTTGACAGGTGTGTACATATACAACACTTAATAAAAAGAAAAGAAAATCATATTTTGATTCCCCTATTTTGTTTCTAATTTAAGCACAGACGTCAATTATGTTAATTTTTCGAACGCCATAGAGGGGATTGGTGTAATTCTGGATTATCCTTTGTTTGAAAAATGGTAACATATATTTTGAATTGCAAATTTAATGGCTGAAATATGTTTGATTGCAACTTTTGCCAAATTTATTAGCTATAAGAGATATTTCGCAAAATAAACACTCAGGCGAATTATTTGCAATTTCTAATACCCAGGTTATTATCTAAATAATTTTTTTATTGCTTATTTTAGCAATAATAATCGCCACATGGAAGGTTTGATATTAAACAAAAATTGCAAAAAATGCACTGTCACAATTATCCACTTGTAGAGTACAAATTTATAGGTAGAAGCAGGTTGTAATACATACTGAAGGTTGACAAGCTCAAATTAATGGTTGACTCTGTTGAATACAGGGTTACATTATCACTCAAAGTTGAATTAACATCAGATAAAGAAGAAGATTCTGTCGATATAGTTGAAATTTCTGTTGAAATGTTCGAGATATCAGTTGTTGATTCCGTTGAATTTTCTGTTGAAGTGGATGTTGAGGAGTCCGTTGATAATAAGGTTGAATTAATTGTTGATATCTCTATTGATGTTGAATTATTGGTCGTTGAAGTAAGAACTGTAGTGGAAATGGCACTGGTTGTCTCTCCGTCTACAGGACATTTAGCAAGGCTACCAGAATTCAGTGAAGGCCTGGATAGAGCTGATATGCCACAGGATAAAGTTATCTGTCCTGTCGGGTTTAATCCTTGAAAAGAATTAAGCAATTAAAGTGATGTTCGACAGAATGAGGTTGCCAACCAACACAACACCTAACCGATATATCCTACAAACTCCAAATGCATACCAGTATTATGCCCTCTTTGAGGTGATTTAAATGCTTTCAATCCTAATTTTGTTAATCGAACTGCGATTTAATTGAAATGATGTGACGTTCTGCATTAATTTCATCTCTCTAATCCAGTACCTTATAATGGTGGAGTCAGACAGAGTTCACAGCATTGAAGTTTAATTCAATGTTGAACCGAATCACTTTAGTGAACGATTTATTCATAGCATAAGGAGCGGATCTAAGAGATCCGATTTTAAATTTAGATTACCTGAGCTGACGTCAATATACCTTGTATTTGTATGAAAAACTTTCCTCCTGTTGTGCCAAGGTTATTAACGAAGTTGATGGTGATGAAGTGACCAGAACTTGTGTAAATAATCTTTGGCAAATAGTCATTATTACTGGAACAGTCCAAGGTAACAGATGAAGAGTTATCAGTGATTTCCATGGACTGTTGGCAGTTCCCAAGGTCTTTAAAACTGTAAAGAAATAGCTGGAACATGTAATCTATCAACATGACTTTATACATTGGAAATTTAAGGACATCAATTTTACGACAAATTTTTTTTTTTTGGCATGAAGGAAAAGTGGTGAAAACTGAAAAAGGTAATCAATTTGACTATGTATAGTTGTATTTTAAGTTATTAAAGGATAATTTTGTTACTTTTCTATATGAACGTATTTTAAGGCTCTTTATACATTTGAAAAAAAAATCACCTTGTCTTGTATCAATAAATATTTGTTATTTTGATGTTCATTGTTTCACCATCTTTTAAAGCAAAAAAAAAAAAAAAAAAATTTTTTTGTTTCATTTTAAAAATCAAAAGCTACTTGATTGAAATAAAATCTAGTGCTGTTATGACAATATATTCCACTTCTTATTTTATCATTATTATTTTTTGTCTTATATTACTTCAGATCAAGAGCTGTAATTTGGACTGTTGTATCGCAAGACAACTCAACAGAGCATGAACAGGAAGTGTTTGCTGACGTCATTTCCGACGGGAAGCCAGCATTCCAGAAAAAGGCGGGAGAATCAGTTGTTGTGAGATCTGAACATGGATCTAAAGCTTGATCTACAGTTGGAAGAACAATTTTAAAGGAAGTTAATCAGGTAGATAATATATACACATATTTAACAAATTTATCCATATTAGACAAGTAATTATTTAGTAGTTTTACAAACTGAAATATAAAGAAAAGTGCATCATATATGAAAAAAAAAATGTTGCAATACTTAAGTACATGTACATACCAGAGATACAATAATAATCCATTTTCATATAGTGTGTTCTCTCGATGTACACCGATTTATTGCAGTAAGTTGGTAAATCTATCCAAGAAACCTGTATGGTACATGATGATTTTCCATTGCAGTTTTGATAATAAGCACGATATGACCCCGAGTCATATGAGTACGAACAGTCATTGACGTCATATTGACAACAGCTGGGATCGATGGCTGATGTCTGCTCTTGAGGACATCCAGACGATTTGTATTTAGCTAAGGTGTACAATGCCCGTACTGCTATTTTCTGCCCACCAGAACATGAAGGTTGTAGAAAGTTGACTAATCCAGTAATTCCATAGCAAGCCGTGACGGATTTTAACTCCATTGATGCTTGAATACCTTAGAGTCAAAGTAATAGCTCTGATTATAGTGAACGTTTTGTACGAAATGAGCATTTGAGGCACATACTCGTGACAAAAAGCGCAGACATACACTACATCAGCTAAATTAAAAATAGTAATACATTCAGAAATGTCTTTTTGAAAAGTGAACCATATCATTTATTGAAATACTCTCTTCAGTCTTTTTGTTATTGGTAACTTGAAGATAAATTTAACAATGTGTTTCAACCACTGACGGAAAGTTACAAGCACCTGTTTGCAAAATTTAGAATCACTATAGAGTTTCTCAGAAATTTGGATTTTATTTTTAAAAGGTCAGACTTTTAAGATTTAGGATCTTACTTTTAGGATTTTTTTTTCTACCAAGGCTGGACAAACTTTCAGAAATATATCTAATAGATTCTGAAGCTGGACAAACTCAATTGATCTGAATATTTACTCTGATATTTCCCAAACCTAAATTCTATGAAATTTACTTTATCTGATGCTTGACAAACTTTCATACTCAAAGGCGTTTATTCTACCAAGGATAGAAAAAAAAATTCAGACTTTTATTGTGCAAAAACTTGTCAAATTTTATTCTGCCAAAGTTGTAAACAATCTCAACATTTTTCTTTTCATTTGGAAAACTTTCTCCAGGAATTTTATTCTACTCAACAACTGTACAAATACTCTCAGATTTTTTTGAGCTAGTGTAGGACAAAATTAATTACTCTCAATATTTTACGCTAACAAGACTATACAAACATACTCTCAGGCGTTTATGTTACAAAGCTGGACAACTTCTTAATAGCTTACTGTACTCTCCAGATTCATTTCTATCAAGACTGAACGTGCACAATTTCAAAATCCTATAAATTGTCTGGGTTTTTTTTTTCTACCAACGTAAAAGAATGGATTTCTAATGGTTCTCCAATGTCATATTCCTCGAGGATTTTTCAATCTGGGCTTTTAATTTAATACATAAAAAATAAAAAAAGCATATTGACTAGAGGGGTCAGGGTAATTCCGACAGGAAAGAAATGATTTTGTAATCATATACTTTCAGATATCTATATTATTTTGTACTCTTTAGAGTACTAATTTTGTTTTCCTGAGAACTGTTGTTGTAGATTTAAAATGCAGGAGAAGTCCAAACTTCCCTTAAGAAAAGAAAGACTTACCAATAAAAGTGAGAGCATGAAACCAAACTATTGAAAGACATCTTCCAGTATTAGGAATCATTTCCGTCACTAATACCCGAAAGTCACACAAAAATCCCCAGACAATTGCTACAACCTACAGTTAGTGTTACTCGACACATCGCTGTCAATTTATCAATGCAGAAATCTTAAGTTATGTTTTGGTAAAACATACTAACTTCTTTTGTTTATATAGTGATAAACAATCGGATACGACGAAACATTCGGCAGTTTATTCGGGTCTTGGGGTCTGTGTATTTGTTTCTTTTTAATAAGGCATTTAAATTAATCAGCATTTATTTTTTTCTGATTATAGATTTTGAATGAGATTACTGTGCAATGGCAGCCTGATGCGGTGGCATTTAACATGTTAAAAATTACTCGAAGCGAGATTAGAGTTATTTCTCTGATTCAGAATGAAATAAAATCAAAGGCAGGTATTATTTTTCTCTTAATCTATTTAACGAATTCTTATTCTTGAAATTAGAATTAAAGAGTTTATTTTCTTAACTCGGGACCATGTTTACTACCCATTGACAAACGTGTTATAATGCATTTAATTTTATTTATGTGCCATTTTACACCGAAAACATTGGAAATCCAAGTTTCGACAAATTAAAAAGAAAATACAAAGCAGAAATATTGAATTGTTTTCAGATTTTAAGTTACAACTGAATTCGTAAAGTGTATTTAGCATGTTTAATTTAAAAAAAAAATGATCGAAAATCTTTTATTGTGATTTCCTTTGGAATAATACTCCGATTTATATTCATTCATTTATAGATTTTGTATTTTGCTCAATATTCTTCAGAATATGAGTTTATAGACCCATGTGTTTCCTGTTTTTAACTCGAATCTACAATTTAAAAGATTGTTCATTTTGGGCACATTTGTACATAGAGCTGACCAAACATGTCTTACATTCATTCTTACGCATGCTAGGGAAAGTACTTATGTCAAGAAAATCTAGTTTCAATTTTTTTTGGTCAAACGTTAACTACATCGTCTTTTAAAAGTGTAAGTTATCAATTAAAAAAAATCAGAAAAATAACACAACAAATGGACACATTTTCTCGGCAGAGGTGTTTTCCTATGCATGCTTATATTATTATGACCCTAACATGGCTGTTAGTGGGACAGGTTTTTGAAGCAGTAACAACCCCAGTCCACAGAGGCAAATTCGAACTGTTGAAAATAAGGAGAAAAATATGTGTTTTATTAACGAATATCATGCTTTAGGCGTAAGATTGCATATAATACAATAAATAATACCCGAAACCTGCGACCAAATCCAAGGTTTTCACATTGGATGGCTTTGTAGCTCTATGGTATGTCTCATCGAATTTTCTATCCCACAGAACTACAGTTCTCCGAGCAAGTCAAATGTAGAAGGGACTTTTTCACCAGTTTGCAATGCAATTCCAAACACACTCAGTTCTGTCATTCCGAAAACAAATTTTCCATCAATGGGCCATGATTCATTAATATGTTCTGGTACAATAAAGGTAACGGTTCCAAGAAATTGGAATGTTTCATCAATGATATATGGGTGTTCATTCTCCGTGCAATAAACACTTAACTTAATTTCTCTGTCGTGCTTTGTATGATTATTTGAATATAACTCCTCTATTCCAATAGATGGAAGTGTCGATCCCTTCACTATAAGCTTCCAAAACATGTCATCGCATCTTTCCTCTCCATCCTTGTCAATGAATCTTTTTTCTTTGGGGTGTAATACAGGATCAAATGACGGATTAACTTTTATTCCATATGTGTTTCGCAGAATTCGTGCATAAATTGACATTGGATTATGACCTAAGAAGACTGCTCCTTTAACAACAGCAGAACTGCAGTCTTGTGGAATGATAACCTCCTGCCTAGGAAATGCTGACCTGAGTCTCTCTTGGAGGATCTTGCTCTCACCATATCCGCCTACCACTAGTATGTTTTCAACAGTTTGCTGTCGTTTCAAAATAGTGTGTACGGTGTCAATAATTTGATTTAGACTACTATCGAAAAAGTTTTTCATCAATTCAGGTGAAATCCTGAGTTTGTCACTAAAGACTGAAACTTTATTCCGTAAATTTGACGAATAAACAGCTGTCTCTATTTTCTCTACAGATTGTTCTACGGTACGAAAACATATCAAATCTATATTAAAGGAATTATTGTAGTTAGAACTGACCATCTTCTTTTCAATTTCAAATGCTTTAATGAGTGATACAAATTTCTCCATATCCTTAAGTTTGAACCTTTTCATTGCTCCTGGTCCAAAAATAATATCGAAAATCTTCATGAATTCGTCATTGACACAAACATCTCCGTATGGTCCGCCATAGGCATGATGAAGTTCAGTAAGTGATACATCCTCATTAACTTCATAGACGCTGAAGTCAGCAATCCCTCCTACAAAAATATTCGAAATTGTAAAAGAGTTTATGCTTCTTGTATATAAGCATACACCTCCCCCCTCTCTCTCATAAAAACTGAAATCTTTGTGTTACAGCAAATCAATAAATTTAAAGGGAGAATGTGAAAAGTAAGCACAATTAAAAGATCTCACATAATTTATTAAATTTACTTATTTCATGTACTCATATTTGTGCAATTAATATTGTAATTTCTTAATGGAAAAATATCCCATTTAGGTAGAAATTAAAATAAATTGAAAAGTCATAGAGATAGAAAGCATAATCGTGAAAGTTTATTTTTTTAAGCATTTGGATTAACCAAAACATAAGAAAAAAAAAGTAACTACATGTATACCTCCAACATCTGCGATTAAAAAATGGGATCCAGGAGTTGTGAGTTTTGCCTCTGTTCCAAATCTTACTTTGTCAAGAGAAACTCTCTGACAATAAATTGCAGCTGCCTCTGGTTCAAGAACCAATGATAAAGATTCATTTTTAATTCCAGCCTGTATGGTAAAAATGGTCTTACTATACCGTATATACTACTAATTATTTATACTCATATTACATATTTCATCCATTAAAAATATTATAAGTCTGTGTACACGCTCTATTTTGAAGTTCTCTGAATCTCAAGTTGGAACCTCTTTTTTCAATTTTTATTATTCATATGACTTTACAATGTCATGAATTAGATTTTATATATATATATATATATATATATATATATATATATATATATATATATATATATATATATATATATATATATATATATATATATACACCTCAATAGCGGCTTCTCTCATAAATTGCTTAGAACGGTCATTCCATATAGCAGGCACAGTCAGGACAAACTTGACATCATAACTTATAGCATCTAGACCTCTGTCTCTCATCGTCTCTAGGCAATGATTTTTTAAGAATTTGATGGAAAGTGAAAACACTCTCATTGCAGGAGCAGGTTTTCCTAAGACATCAGCGATAAGCGAATTCCTGTTAATTGTCTACAAATCATAAGAGAGCGGTAAGGTTAAAAGTGAAATTAAACACAATAGCTTATTCCAATGATATGTTTTAAAAATGTAACTGATTGATTAAAATATAACGATGCACACATCAAGTTTATTACATATTTATTGAAATTGAAACATTTTAAAAAATCAAAATTTCTGGATTTTTTTTTATTGGTAAGAAGGTTGGAAGTTGTAGTTTAATATTTGGAAACTTTGGAAACTTGAATATTTTTTGTATTGTTACAAAATCAGATAATTATATGAGATGAAAACACTCACAAGGAGAGCAATTAAAGAGAACTTGTCCAAATAGCAGGACATCTATGGGCTTTAAGAAAAGCCCATTTAAAAATATGGCAAATTAAATCAAAAGGAA